CTTTCTCTTTTTTTTTTTTTTTTTTTTTTGTGGCTCTGTGGCTACCTCTTCTGTAGACTCCTGGGGCTTGAAGGGCTTTGCCCTAGTGGTCTGTCTGGAAAAGAGGCCTAGCAGGGAGCTAGGCTGGGCCCCAGAGAACCTGCTGAGAACAGGGTTCGCTGCGGGAGACCCAGAGCCTGCTCTCAGGCAGCATTCCCAGTGCTAAGACCACCCCCCATCTTTCCAGAAACAGTTCACACTCCAGCCCCTGGCCTCCTGCATCTCCCAACCTGTTTGGAGCCAGGGGGGTTACATACTGCCTTTTGTGTTATTATTCTCTTTTTCTCTTAAAAAGCTGGGGGAACTCCAGGCTACCTACACAGCCTGGCCCAGGCTGGGAACGGCGTCTCCCCTCCCTGCTCTGCGACCCCTCCTCCCTGCAGTCCGCCATGGAGAGTAAGGATGAGGTCAGCGACACCGACAGCGGCATCATCCTGCAGTCTGGTGAGTCTCGGGGAATCCCGAGTCCGGGCTCCAGGGCTGGCCAGGCTCAGGCTCCCTGGGCTGGGGAGGGTGATACCAGGAGGGCTGGGGCCTTGGGACTTGAGGCGTTTTTCTCCCGGGAGGGGTCTGGCCTGGTTTTGGTCCTATCTGGGACAGGGATCTGCACTGTCCACCTCTAGCCCAGTGACTACTGGGAAGTGAGAAACGCTCATCTGGCCAGCCTGAAGGTCCTGGCTCCCCCACGCCCGAGCGAGCCTCGGGCCTGGTCTGGCCTAGTTCTGACAAGGACAGGGAGGAGAGGCTGTGTGTGCATGGTGGGGGCAGGGGGAGGGCCTGGGAGAGGAAGTGAGAGAAAGGAGGAGATGGAGTTCGGGCCACGCAGTCCTCCCATTGTAGGTCACTCGGGGCCACAGCCCTCCCTCCAGCTGTTGTGTTGCCACCTTGAGCCAGGAGCCTGGTGTTTTGTGCTATCAGTGGCCACGGCATCTAGCCAGACATTTGTGAGCAGGCCCGGGGTTCTGTGTGTGTGTGTGTGTGTGTGTGTGTGTGTGCACATGTGTGTGCGGGTGCTCCCCTAGGGGTGGTCCACAAGTGAAGACCAGAGGCTGTCCTGCCTCAGCCTCTCTGAGCATGTGCCCTCCTGCCCCCGCAGGCCCCGATAGCCCGGTCTCCCCGATGAAGGAGCTGACCCATGCCATGCGAAAGCAACAGAGGGCCCTGGAGGCACGGCTGGAGGCCTGCCTGGAGGAGCTGAGGAGGCTCTGCCTGCGGGAGGCGGTGAGCGGGCAGCCCCTGTCTGGTACCTGCAGCCTGGGTATCACCTGATGAGCCTGGGACCATATTCAGGGTGTGGGGCTGAGTGGAGGGAACACTGTTCTTGGAAGATTCAGGAAGTCTGGCTGGGAACTGGCTCCCAGAGTGCCACGGTGCGGGTTTGGCGTGGGCACTGGTTGGTGTCCAGGACGGGAGGGATTGCAGAGGGTCCGAGTGGGCTGATGCATGTGGGGTCACAGAGCTCTCTGGAGGGACTGAGCAGAGGGGGTTGGAGAAAAGGGACGGGAGTGAAGAAGGGCCCAAAAGTGGAAGAGGGCTGGGGCGGGTGGGGCGCAGTGGGTGCTTGTACTGGGAGCTCTGGGGAAACGTGGGCCCATGCGATGGGGCAGGTGGACAAGGTAGTTCCGTTGGCCATGGGCTAGGCAGGTGGAGAGGGGCATGGCTTGATGTTGCTTCCCCACCAGGAGCTGACGGGCACCTTGCCAGCGGAGTACCCCCTCAAGCCGGGGGAGAAGGCCCCCAAGGTGCGCCGTAGGATCGGAGCGGCTTATAAGCTGGATGAGTGGGCCTTGCACCGACAGGTGAGGAGCTGCAGGAGCTGACGTCCCCTTGTCAGGAGCTGGTTATCAGGGCGTGGGGCCTCGGTGTTCTCTCCCCATGCCCTCACACCGAGGAGGGTGCTGGGCTTTGTGCCAGTGAGGCCACCCACTACTGCGTGGCCCACAAAGCCACAGGAAGGTGTCCACCACAGGAACTCCAGGGAGGACACTGGGTTTGGTCCGAGTGGGCAGATCCTCTGGGAGTGCCAGCCGCCAAGCCCGTCGCCTGTTCAGACAGGTTGCCCTGGCCCCTAGGCCTGTCCTCCTTGTTCTCAGGAAGGAGGTGGAGGTGCTCTGGGCGCCATCCCCCATGGCGTGCATGGCGGCAGTTTCTCATGGGCTCGCCTGCCCAGCCCTTTGGGGTCAGGAGGGAAAGTGTCCCACTTCAGTTCCGCCCAGCCCAGCAGGCAGGCCAGTGGGTGGGTGTCATGCTAGCTTTCCAGGTGACAGGTTTGCTCTTGGGTCCCTCCCAGCACTCCACCCTCAGCCCCAGGTCTCCGGTGGCTGCTTCCTGCTCCCCTCTGACCTGCCAGCTTAGGGCCAGGACCAGAGGGCTGGGTCATGGCTCTCGTGTCCTTGGAGCACCCTGCCTCTCTCAGGCCTCACTGTGCCCCTCCCTCAGGACCCCCTAAGCAGCCTGGAGCGCCAGGTGGCCCTGCAGCTGCAGATCACGGAGGCGGCCCGGCGGCTGTACCTGGAAGAGAACCTGAGCAGGCAGGCGCGGCGGCAGCGCAAGCATGCCATGCTGCAGGAGGAGAGGAAGCTGCAGGAGCTCCAGCGCGGCCTGGGCGAGCGGAGGCGCAACAGTGAGCCCCCACCCAGCACTGCCCCACTCTCCCTGGGCCCAGGTGAGCCCGCGGCCTGGGCCGCGCCCGCCGTGTATGAGCTGGTGCGGGGCAGCGGGCGGTGGGGAGTGGGGCTCCAAGCCACTGCATGTGCCCTTGCTTAGCTCTGCTTACGTGCCCGGTGCTGTTTGATCCTCCATGTGGGCTTCCACTGGGCACCCCCTCCCTATCCTCTACAACCTTGAGAAGCCTTCTCCATTGAGATCTCCTTAGAAAACATCCCACTCCTCCCTTCTGCGTCCTCTCAAAATACACTGCCTTCAAGACTTCCTAGAGAGGGCCTTCCCTGGGCTGACCTAGAGCTTGACCTCAGGGTTTATGCAACTGGAATATCCCAGGTCGGCCCTGCAGGCCCTGGCCCCACCGGGTGATGGCCTGTCTGTGTGCGTGCAATGAGAGGCCCAGGTCAGCTGAGACTGAGCTAACGCGCCCTCCCCTGGCTGTGTTGGGCAGCATGGGGTCAACCCCTGCAATGCTTAAATGATGACTGAACTGCCCAGGGGCCCATAGCCCCTCATGGATGTTCAGGTTGAAATCCAGGGACCCATGATCCCTAACATAGCTGGAGCATCCTGATCAGAACTTCTGCCTCTGCTCTCTGCCCTTATGTCCTGCCATCCAACCTCCGAGCCCCTTGGCCTAGAGATCGATAGCTGCGGGGCACCTAGTGAGTGTCTGGGGACAGACGCGTGACATGTTACAGGGATGTGTCCAGCCCAGTCTGGTTCCCAACAGGTGGTCTGAGCCCTTAGGCATGGCTGTTTTTCTTTGTCCGGCCCCAAACCCAGCTGTCAGGTCTTAGGTCAGGACTCTATTGTTCTCCATTCCAGGCCCTTCTACATCCTGACCATGTTAGCCCCGCCCTCTAGGGCTCTTACAGGGGTCCCAGCCTCTCTGGCTGCCTCAAGGGGACTGGCAAAGAGAATGGGCAGTGGCCCTGCAGCACCTCTGGCTCAGAGGCTTGGCCTCAGTCTGGAGGGCCGCTGCTCCCCCACACAGGTCCCTCTTGTACCCAGACTTTGTGCAAGGGTGGACTTTGTCCAGGCTCTTGTCCTCCCCTGGCTGGACCCTCAGATGGGAGTGTGCCGGCCCTGCCCAGTCTGTGTGCCCCATGGCCCACGCTGCGGGAAGAGTATCTTAGTACAGGTCTCAGGAATCCCTATGCCCACCCTTGGTCTCAGGTCTAGGGCAGAAGGTGTGTGGCCAGACACCACCCAGCTCACCTCCTACAGCCTGGGGTAGATGGCAGGGATGGGGAGGAGCCTCCATGTGGAACTGAGCCAGGGCCAAATGGCCACCTTCTCTCTGGTTCCAATGGCTCTGGCCTGGCCTGGTCTGGCCTGGCTGGCTGCTGGATAACACTCCTGGCCCCCAGGCTATAATGGAAAAGTTCTTCATCCTTCCTGCACTCCCACCCCCCTTTGGAAGGGAGGCCTGAAGGGCCAACTTGCTCGGTGCTTGTGACACAGGAACTCTCCTATCTCACTTGGGGGAGCCATCAGGGTGGTGGGATTGTCCCTGGTGCCTCTGCTCTGGGCCCCTCCTGTCCTACTTGCTAGTCCCAGACTGCTCTGCTCACAGTGCTCCAGCTGCTGGGAGCAAAGAGAAACAGCCACGCCTAAGGGCTCAGTCCACCTGTTGGGAGCTAGCCTGAGCCGGACACACCCTTGTCACATGGCTCTCCCAAGGCACTCACTAGGTGCCCTTCAGCTATTGATCTCCAGGCCAAGGGGCTGGGGCAGGGGGGTTGGACTGCAGGGCAGTAAGAGCAGAAGGCAGAGGTGGAAGGTCTGCTCTTGACCAGGACCTGAGAGACTTCAGAGATCGTGGAGTGGATTTCAACCCCCTCTGCCCAGCTCCTACAGAGGCTGGGAGCCTCTGCCCTGACTGGGTGACAGAGGGGTGTCACTCTGCTGTCATCATTGTGATCTGTGGTGCTTCCTGTTGGGAGTGAGGAGCAGGCCAGGACACGCCTGGGGCTCTGGCTTAACCCTGTGTGGGTGGCGGGGGTTCGGAGGAGTTGGTCAGGCCCAGTGAAGATAGAGAAGCCGGTGGCTGCCCTTCCCAGATCAGTGCCCCCGAGGTCCTGGGTGCTAACGTCCTGCCCCGAGCAGAGAAGGGGGCGTCCTAGACAAGACTTTCCTGTTCTGTGGCTCCTCTACCCAACTGTGCTCTCTCAGAAAGGAGGAAGTCAGAGATTAATAATTAGTTAGTAGTTGAAAGGGGTTTTGAATTAGAAAAGGAAAAAGAACTCACATAAAAAACCTCTAAAACAAAAAATCACCCACTCCCTTGGTTTCCACACAAAGGTAATTCAGTCTGGAACCGTAATCAGTCCAGGTGAGAGTAATTAGGCAGTACGGCCAGGAGGCAGGGGAGGCAGGGGAGGCAGAGGTTGGCCTCACTTCCTAAGGGCACCTGAGAGCTTCCCCAGCGGGCGTGCTAGGTGCTCAGTGTGCTAGGTGCTCAGTGTGCGTGTTGATGGACAGCGCCAGCCTGGGGCCACACTGGTGGGATTCCTGCCAGGATGACCATGCCCGCTCTGTGCCGCCTGCTGGGAGCTGTAGCTCACCCCCGCCCAGCATTTGCAGTGCCGAAGAGGAGGAGCTGGGTTTTCGTTTTCTTGGATGTTGATGGAAATAGCCTTCTGTGAGCAACGGCTGCTGCGCTGGACAGTGCGGCTTGAGAAGCTCAGAGTGGGCGGACGATGTCCGTGGCCACCCTTTGCCTGGTGCCCTGCTGCTGCTGTGACAATCTTGCTGGAGGGAAGGCAGGGCGAGCTGAGCTGGGGCTGGTCGGGACAGTGGCTAAGATGGCGAGCAACCCTCGGACCACTCGTGTGCGTTGACATGTCGATATGCCACTCACCCCTGCCCCCTGCAAATCAGTGTGTCCCTGGACTCCCCTGTTTGTGTTGTATTTTTTGGTGTATAATATTATTGTTTGTTTTAGATTTTTGCCATAGGGCATATGTGCCTGCTGGAGAGAGACAGAGAGAAACAGAAAGAGGGAAAGTGAGAAATCCCATCCCAGGGCCACACCACAATCCCTTTTCTTCCATTCTCCTCTCGGGATTTTGGGCACACATGCAAATGCGCCCAGCGTGAGTTTCACGGTGCCAGGTCTGGGACTCGAACTGTAGCCGGCCATGTGGGAGCCCAGCACTTTAACCACCATACCACCTGCTGGCTCCTTTTTGGCCTATCATCTTTTGACTGGCTTGTTTTTATAAAGATGAAGGTGGCGGGGGGGGTGTGTGTGTGTGTGAGGTCTTTCAGATTAGTAGTCATTCAAACCAAAAGAGTGTGCTATCTAGCCAGGACAGGAGCAGTTCTAATCTCTTCAAGCCCTGAAAATCTTTATTCTTCAGGTCTTTGTATACATGAGACAAGGACCTAGGCTCCTGTAAGAGAGTGCCTCTTCCACTGAACCCCAAGCAAGGCTATTCGGGAGCCAGTGTAGCATGGGCTGCCAGATACTCAGGAGGCAAGCCCAGGTCCTTGCACCCCACACCCTTCAATGTTTAAGAACTGCTCTGGGTAAAGCTTTCATTTCACAGAGGCCGAGGAACAAAGGGGGACACACTTTTCCATAAAGGGTCAGAGTATATATATTTTAGGCTTTGTGGGACACAAGGTCTTTATCACAATGACGTGACTCAGCCATTTTTGTTGTAAAGCAGCCAGGCATTGTGTAAACAAATCTGTAGCTGTGTCCCCCTAAAACTTTACTTATAAAGACAGCCGGAGGGCCAGCCAGTAGTAGTGTGGTGGTTGAAGCATCTGGATGCCAAGTGGCCAATAGTGTGGTTCAAGTCCCAGACCCAGCGGCTGAGAAACACGCTGGGTGTGTGTGTGTGTGTGTGTGTGTGTGTGCAGCGCCCAACATCCCAAAGGGATGGAGAAGGGATTGTATGTGACCATTCCCCATGGAGGTGCTTTCTCACTTTCCTTCGCTCTCGGTCTCTCTGGCGAGTGCGTGTGCCCTCTAGCAAATTTAAAAAAAAATGAATAAACAAAGACAGCCAGTGAATTGGATCTGGCCCACGGATGTTCACAAGTCTTGTAAAGGATTTCAGGATGGCTGGAACCGTTTACTTTTCTAGAACTTTCTGGGTAATGACCTGTGCATTTGATGCTGGCTCTCAGGAATGCAGACCAGTCAGGCCATCCGGGAGTGAGTTCTGATTCTGCCCTTTTGGTGGATGGACCTAAACCTCGTTGCTCTACTCCTTGGTGACTCGGCTTCCTTAACTGTCCACGGGGTTGGCAAAGTCAGTCTTAGAGGACTGCCGTGAGGATTGCATCAGTTAATCCCACCTCGCAGAACTCTCACTGTTAGCAACGCAGGAGTTCTTGGATTTGGGATCCTTTCTCAGATGACAAGTTCCTGTGATGTGAGAAAGATGTAGAAAAGTTAGTGAAATTTGGGACCAGCAGCTGGCGTAGTGGTTGTGTTGCTGGACTCCCATGTGGCTGATGGCAGTTCGAGTCCCAGACCCAAGGCTTGACACTCACGCCGGGCACATGTGCATGCGTGCCCAAGATCTCAAGAGGAGAATGGAGGAGAAGGGATTGTGGCGTGGCCATCCCCCTCGGGGGGGGGGATTTTTCACTTTCTGTCTCTCTGGTAAGCACACATGCCCTGTAGTAAAAATATCTATTAAAAACAAAAGTTAGTAAAACTCATTTCACTTCAGGTCCTCCCAAAATTGTTCTTTGCCTTTCCCTTCCACTTGTTTTTTTTTTCTTTTTTTCTTTTTTTTTTTTTTTTTTTTTTTGCCAGATGAGGAAACTGAGGTCTAGAGCACTGAAACGGCTTATTTAAGGTAGCACAGCTAATGACAGAACCAGAGTTAAAATTAGGTTTCCTATCTCCCGACCTCGACCTCTGATTGTTCTAAGTAGTCAGTGCACGCTCAGTGTAGCATGTGGCACCAGCAGGCACTGGCTGACCGTGGGTGCTGTGTGGGGAGGACCAGGCCTGGGTCCTCTGTACTGCTGGCTCATTTCCTCCCTCGCTTCTCTTCTCCCGCCTTTGCCTTTCCTAGAGCTCAGTGCCTCGGACGACAGCTCCCTGTCAGATGGGCTCCTCCTGGAAGAAGGTAAGAGAGATGGTTTGGGGACTCACATCAAGCCTGGGCTCGACCGCAGGACCTGGGGGCTTTGGCTGAGTTTGCTTGAGAGGACTTCAGTGGGGAGTGGAGCTTTCAGCGAGCTAGTGAAGGTGGGGTGCCGGGCTCAGGCTCTGCCAGACCTGGTGTTAGTTCCCATGTGCCCTCACAAGGGGCTGCCCGGCTCCCATGCTAGAGGCTCAGTCATTTTTACAGGAAAGGGACAGGTGAATTCCAACTGAGGATTCAACTCCAGCCATCCCTCCCTCATCCTGGGCCTTTACTTGAAGATGCACCAAAGAGCCGCCTGCTGCCAGCTGTTTCCAACCCCTACCTCCTTATTAAAGCACATGTTTCCTTTATTCATGGCAGAGCATGTGCACGTACATGGGAGAGAGCGCACAGTGAGCACCCTCCATAGGTCTGATCACACCATAATCCTTCCCCTCCGATCTGCTGGCTCTTTGGATTTGGGGCACTCATGTGCATGCCCAAGTGTTTCAGGCTGGCCAGGCTGGGGATTCGAACTGTGGTTGCCCCAAATGTAGGATCCAGCTGCTTTAGAGCAGGACATTACAGCAGTACCATGGAGCCAGCCCCTCCCCCTTTTGGAAAAGAAGGTAGCACTGATGGAAAAGTAAAGCCTGTAAACTTAGGGTCCTGTTCAGAAACCCTGAGCATGCTGGGGTCAAGGTGGACCAAGAAGGTGGTGTGGTCCTGGCCAGGGGAGTGCCAGGCCAATAAGGAAATGGGGCACATGGGCATGGCAGGAACAAGAAAAGTAGGTAAACAAGGCATGGGAGCAGAGGTTCGTAGGCGGAGCAATGTGAGCCAGGGAGAGCCAACCTGGGGGGGCTTCTAGGAGGAGGCAGGTGTAAAACAGGGCTGTGGGAGGGAAGGAAGAAGCCCTGAGTAGAAAACAATGAGCATCAGGGGCTGGAGCCATGGCCTGGAGTGGTCGGAGGAGCCAGCCATGGGAGGGAGAGGGTGCAGGCCCTTGCCTAGGTTCTCGCTGGGCCGGTTCCCCAACCTCTGTCCTGACCAGATTTCTTTTACCCCCGCAGAGGAATCCCAAGTGCCTAAGCCTCTCCCAGGGTCCCCGGCCCCACCTTCCCGGCCTCTCCCACCCCAGAGCCTTGAGGGACTGCAGTCAGCAGGACCTGAGACAGGGGGCCTGGAGCGAGCCCCCATCCAGAACAGCCCCTGGAAGGAGACCAGCCTCGACCATCCCTACGAGAAGCCCAGGAGGTCTTCTGAGCCCAGTAGCGAGTCCAGGTCAGGGTGGGGAGGAAAGGAGGGAGGGCCGGGAGCAGGTAAAACTGTTGGGTGTGGCCCAGGCTGGGCAGATGGCAGCACACCAGCTGTGTGCTGGTGGAGGCGTGAGCTCTGGTAGTTCCCCGGGTGCAGGCCATTTGCACCACTGAGGTTGGGGCCCCTGCCACTGCACCCCCATTTTATGCACTTC